CGTTTAAAGCTGCTGCTTCGTTAGCTGCTTCCTTCTACAAAAGAAACCAATTTGGTAAAAGATTCTTTTTTAGGTATGTTAACAACAAAACTATATTCTATAGCCTAATGAATCACCTCATTATATTCGGGGTTTGTTAGATCAAAGACGATCTCAACCTGGCGCACTTCTTCTGGGTTCCGAAAATAACAATCCAACTGGGAAACAGTGAAACGATCAGACTGAAACATATTTGAAGTTAAAGCATTTAATACAAAGACAAGAAAGTAAAAGTTATTGCCCACCTCTCTATCATCAACGTCAGACAAGGTGCTTGATTCATCCGAATGTCCATCCGACTGCCAAAAGACGGATTTGAAGCATAAGTAAGATTTCACAAACAAAGTTTCCTCAGAGATCAAACTAAACTTACATTTAGTTGTTTGTCGTTTTCTTCTCTAGAAGCTTTTTCCTCCATTCTCTCTTTCTCTGCTCGCTGGAAGGCGGGAGGATCCGACCCACCTTCAAGTCCACCAGAAACTTTCATGAACTGCAGAAAGCATCTGCTTGTTAAAAACTCGGAGCAGGACTCACAGTTGCATAAACCGGAGAACAAACATACCTCATCGTAACAGCTCTTACATAATCCATAATCAACAGGTTTACAATCTTGATGCATACAGAGCACTACTCCTTCTTTGTAAGAAATTGGATTCCTTTTACTACGCAATTCCGTTTCTTTTTTTCTTTCTCTTTCAGTTTTACTGAGCTCATCAGCAGTAAAACTTGCAGCCTCGGTATTTCCAAACTCAATCAATCTTTTAGTTAGAGTTGCTTCGCATATATGCACAATTTTCACCTGAATAATATTATTTAGAGAACACACATCAGCACTGAATTACTGAAACAAGAGGCTCAAAACACTATTCGAATCGAAACATCTTACGATATCTGTCTTAGAGCACTTGATACCATGAGAAAGTGCAGCTGTATAGAGTGCTGCTCCACATATTCCACTTGGTTTCCGTCCGGTCTGCAAGCCAACATTAACACAAAGCCATAATAAAATAAACCTAAGACAAACAACATGTAGGTACACACACCTGCATCCAATCTCTCTTCATACTAGCTATAATGTCTGTAGCCGTGTCCACGACTGTTCCCACGACTTTCTTACGGTGTGCACCTTTCAATAACACTGCAAGTTTATGATTAAAAAGTGGAATACAGTGAAGTTCTTGCATCAACCCAATACAGAAAAAAATGGGAGTTACTTACTGTTTGTGAATCGAGGAATGAAAATTGAAGGATCAACAAGTTTCTCATAGTTGTGGTTTTCTGTAATGTAGAGCATGTCACAGAATTGCAAATACACAGAACCTAACTCGTAACTGCAACAAAAACAGTAGGCTTGACAGGTGATTAGGCTTATCAGATAAAGAGGAAAGTTATGGAGATGAAAACAAAACTCATTATCTTACACGCTAACACGAAGGTAGCTTGAAAAATGAATAAGAAGAACCGCAAATTTTAATTGCCTAGAGATCAAAGGGAGTTTTTGGTTAACACAGAGAGCGTCACTAGTAACAACATAACAAAAACAAATGGTAAGAACCTCCTAACCTGCAAGACAAGTAGAGACATGAAGACAGTACTAGCTCGCTTCTACGGCCTTTAGTGAAATTAAGATCAAGTGCCGTTCTAAAGAAATTAGAAGCCATGACAATAACATCATCTCTGTCATCACCAATTCCCAAAGCGTCTCTCAAATTCATAAGCTCATCTATAGCTGCAAAAAAAAAAGAAGCAAAAAGATGATATTTATCTACAAGGAAGCCTGGTGAAATCAAGTCAAAGGCATATATATTACCTATTCTGATTCTCCTTTCACGTGAGCTTGACATCCCACTCTGAACACTCTTCACTATGTTACCAGAAGCTTGGCTCTGCAGGTACACAGAAACATTTTATGAGAATCAATTCTAGCTCTAAAGTAGAGGAGCGAGGTCAGAGTAAAACCTGTCCAGCAGCATTCTTAACGAAAGTAACTTGAGTAGAAAAATTGAAATTCTCCAAAATCCTGCCACATAAATCACATGACCTGCAACATAAAATTCACAAGTAGAAAGGTTGAAAAGCACAAATCCAACAGAAACCGAACTCCTAAAAACATCCATGAGTGAACACTTACAATGCACCATCATAGGGGCGTATTCCGGGAACGTTCTTCCCACAATGGTTACACCACACCATAGCTCCAAACTTGGCTTCTAATATGGATCCAAAACTCTCAGATTTGAGGCTTGAATCGATTCGAAACAACAGCTTCCAATCTTACTGCTCAATAAAGAGAAGATGAGATTATTTCTGGGGAAAGTCTAAAGGAAACATTACATTTCAAGTTAACCAATTTTTTAATACATGAACCCAATAATTTCCATTAACCAAGCTGGCAAGGTCGAATTTCCATCAGATTTCCCAAAATCTTACTGGCAAGCAAAAGTTTAAAGCAGCTTAATTAGGCTTAAAGCAAAAAAATCAAATTGATGAATGAGGCCAAAAACCCTAAAGGAAGGAAGTTGTTAATTCTCACTAGTGACAAATGTGACATGCATTCTGAAACCCATGAATCGAATCACACCTAAAGCTAATATCTTCCTCCTCTGAACAACTTAAGAGAAATTAGATTAAGAAAAACGCCGCAGATCTACTCACTGAAATTCGCAGAAGGAAATTAGAGAGAAAGGGAAAGCGTACCAAAACGACGAAGAACCATACAAGGTCAGAAAGTCGACGGCTTTTCGTCTTCAAGAGATCTGGCGAAGCAGAGGGTTACCCTAAATAAAATACTAAGGGATTTGATCTTTTGGACGGTCTGGATTTGATCATGACTGATAAGATATTACAGTTTCCTTTTTCTTTCTTCGTTATTAATTGGTGACGGTTGAAAGGCGGTGTTTTCGTCTTAACCCCTGTTGCCTTAATAATATTTTTGTCCATGTTGCAAAGAGAGCTATTTTTGAATTTCGTTCAAAAGCTGGATTACGAGAGCTTCTTTACTGCCCATCTGGAAAGCTTTTTGGGTACTGAATCTACTAGTGGTGAGCAGTCTTTCGGTCGCAGCTGTCTATGCCCAAATCTCTCTCACAGGAAAACAACCAATTTGGATACCAAAACATGTTCTAGTGTCCATTTCTATCTGATTCTGAGACCCACTAAGAATAAAGAGGTCTTCTCCCTGCAGACCATCCAGAGTACAAGTTTTTCCAATCGTGGAATACCATAAGTGAAAGGTTAACTGATGAGGCCAGAATTGTATCCAGAATCAAGACTGCTCCCTAAAATCTCCATTGCTAACACAAAGAGATAGGGGGAAATGGAGTCCCCTTGTCGTCTCAGCCCTTTCCTATTCTTCAACAACTCGCCATTTATGGCTATGGAGAAGCTAACTGTTCTGAAATCCAGTTGATGAAAAGTGGAGGACAATCGCTTTCTTGAAGGACTCTTCACTATGTTACCAGAAGCTTGGCTCTGCAGGTACACAGAAACATTTTATGAGAATCAATTCTAGCTCTAAAGTAGAGGAGCGAGGTCAGAGTAAAACCTGTCCAGCAGCATTCTTAACGAAAGTAACTTGAGTAGAAAAATTGAAATTCTCCAAAATCCTGCCACATAAATCACATGACCTGCAACATAAATTTCACAAGTAGAAAGGTTGAAAAGCACAAATCCAACAGAAACTGAGCTTCTAAAAAGCAAACCATAAGATAAAAACATCCATGAGTGAACACTTACAATGCACCATCAAAGGGGCGTATTCCGGGAACGTTCTTCCCACAATGGTTACACCACACCATAGCTCCAAACTTGGCTTATACTAACACAGATTTGAGGGATGAATCGATTCGAAACAACAACAGCTTCCAATCTTACTGCTCAATAAAGAGAAGATCATTACATGGAGTTAACCAATTTTTTATATATGAACCCAATTTCCATTAACCAAGCTGGTAAGGTGGAAATCAAGATATTACAGTTTCCTTTTTAAAGGCGGTGTTTTCGTCCACTTTGTTCCATACTCGAAGATCTCTCAGGCAGCCCAAGACCGACCGCCTTCTTGTTTCGGGAAACAGATTATGCAGACTCAAAAACAGAGGAACATCCAACAATTCCTGAAACATAACAGAGCGAAACAGAGACATCACAATCGAATTCGATCTTTCATGGAGTTCAACGTTTTTCAATATCGATTTCACCCAATCGCATGTGAGCAGACCATATCGGTCCACCCATGTTATATTTCTTCCCGGTTCAATCTCGCTGGTAGATTAAACCGAAATAACCGGTTTTCAATTAAAGCTTTCAGGTTAATTTCAGTGAATCAATAACAAAACATTCTAGCTACAAAATCTGTTTAGTGTTTCGATTAAACAAGAAAAAATTAAAAAAATTACGTGTTTGATCCATTTTTATATATTAATAATGTGACAAAGACCTGAATGAAATGTTAGCCCTGAACAAATCACGTGTTAAGGTAATATTTTTTGGATAAATGTTTCAAGGTAATATATGTAATTTATATATTAAATGAATCTAGTTTATCTTATTTGCTAGTATATCTTCTAATGAATTTTACTTGATTGTAGTGTGTGACGATAATGAAACGTGGACTGCGAGACCGTAAGCATTTAATAGTTTAGTCTCTTTTTTTTTTTTAATTTAATATGGTTTGTATTGATTTTTTTTTAAAAAAATTGCAGATTTGGTGGTGGTATTAAACATTGTCCGAATTACAAGGTCAGAACCGAAAAAGACGAAGGCTGTCTCCATATGATTTGTAAAGCTAGCAGATGCAGTCTGGTAAATTGTCTCTATTTACTTCTCTGTCTTTTTCTTTGGGATACAACAGAATCATGGAAGATCTCAAAAACTCGCTGGCTGAAGTCTATCAACGCATTGGAGTCTGTCAGCATTTGTTCTCGGAATAGAAATGCTATTATTGTATCATAGACATTGAACTTGCACTAAAAGTGCCCAGACTGCTTCATCACTTATTTGATGTCTTGCATAGGGGAATCGCATTTGGAGCGTTTCAGGTGTAACATCGACGTGGCGTACCACAAAACCATTAAGGCAAGTATAAAATGTTTTCCATATGACTCTCGGATGAAGATAAATTTTATGATAACACTTTGTTTTATATTTGCAAGGTTTTGTCGGTTACCCTCATTGTAGTACATATATTGGTCTTGAGAATCCAAGTGGGGCAGTTACACACACTTATGCTTGTGGGTCTTGCTCCAAGACATTCAGTCCCCGCTAATGCATTCACACAATTAATGGAAAGAAAAAACTCGGCAAAAAAAATATTTGCTTCAATTTCGTTTTTTCTTTGTTCTTACATATGCTTTTGAGAGTTTATCCTTCTCTCATCCAAATTCATAATAGACATTACATATTTTTGTGTAATATTAGCTTAATAGTATTTATGTTCTTTATCAAAACTTTTAGTCAATTGTCAATCGTAGTAAATATACCAATATAATTAAATCTTATATAAGGAGTTATGTATTTGTTTACCACAAAAATAATGTTATTTATTTACCAAAAGTTTTTATAACAAGTTAATAAAATATTTTGAAATCAATTACCAAATTTTCTTTATCATAAATAACATTTTTTTCCTTCTTGAATGCATTTAGACTAAAGTTTTACTCTTTTCGATGAAAAAAAAAAGTTTTACTCTTTTCATTTCATATTCACCTTTTTAATACTACTAAAATATTCAGTCAACACACTGTAATTTTTTTTTTGATGAAAATATCTTTGCATTAAATTAAATGGATCAAAAACTTACTGTATTACAATAAATAAGCCAACTTTAGTGGTTGGTCTTTAGATCCAATAAACATAAATTAAAAGAACTGTATAACGAAACCCACTAGAAATAAGAACCCAATTTGAACCCATAAGGCCATATGCATCGGTGAAAATGGGCTATGTTCTTAGAATATTTTAATAATAAAAATTGGGCTTCTAAGACTAAGAACTGAGGAAATGGTCTTGGGCTAGAGCTGTTCCTGGGCTGTTCTCGGCGACACGTGTCAAGCGTTCATTGGTGTGAATTTTTGATATCGAAAACATTATTCAGTTGGGCCAAAATCGAAAAGAGGCTAGGGTTTTCGAAAAGAGGCTAGGCAACATTTTGCGACTAATCCGTAATGAGATTAACTACGAACTCGATCACTCGCCTCCTCTTCAGGTATTTTACGAATCTTTTTTTTCTTTTCTGGTGATTAGTCAATACGATGATAAAGCTAGTGTTATAGATAAATTAGATCCATCTGACTATGAAGTTATTCTTAAAGGAGGCGAACAAGTTACCTCTGTTCTTGAAAAAATGATAACCCTCGTATGTGTTTTCGCGTTACGTTTCATGATTTCCATCTCATTTTTTGCTTTTTGTTTCGTTTCTTTAAGTGTGACATTTCGTCGAACAACTTATAGGCGCTTTTTGTTTCGTTTCTTTAAGCTTGACATTTCGTCGAACAACTTATAGGCATTATGGTTTTATGATACTTAGAATCGTTTACTTGTTAGTTTTGTGAGTTCTTGGTTTCTGTAATGGTTTTATATGTGAATGAATGTCTCTGATGTGTAGTTGGAAGCTTGACATTTCGTAGAACAACTTATAGGCAAAAGGGTTTTATACATAGAATCGTTTTACTTGTTAGTTTTGTGAATTCTTGGTTTATGTAATGGCTTGATATGTGAATGAATGTCTCTGATGTGTAGTTGGAAGATATGAATATGAATGAAAAGAGTTGATGAAATGGAATCATGGTTTATGATGGCTCTTGATTATATGATCCAACTCGCTGATGACTTGTTAGAGGTATTGTGTTTGTTTAGGTTTATATATATATATATATATCTATTTGTATTTGAGATAGTCTGAGAATGTGATATTTTTTGCAGACTATGGAAACAAGGCCAATTATTCCGGATCGAAAACTAC